ACACCATATGTATTAGCATACTTATACCATTCAATTCATCCTAAGAAAAGCAAGAAAAACACCCCAGATTCATCTCTCACATGCACAAAACTTGATCATATTCCTCATCTGTCCCCACTCAGCCACAAATGATCAAAATTCTTAACCACTAACATTTTATCATAAGAAACTTGATCATTCATTTAGCTACTTTAATTACACATCAAACAATCAAAGCTCCTGTTTTTGAAAGTCTTCAACCACAAGAAACCTAGCCCACGCTTCCTACAACAATCATCAAACAAAGTTCTCCTCTGATCACAATCACCATTAAAATGGGTATCATTTCCCTCATTTCCTCTGTCTTAATTAGATCTCTCAGCTTACAACCTCGTCAAAGGCGAGAACTTCAGCACAACTCCGCCCGAGGTCCGTTTTTAACAACCTCCGACCTAACCAGTCAAATTCAAACATCCCTCCCTATTTTCAGGCCCCACCCATCACGGAAGTACCGACGTTAAGAAGTTATACAAAACCATTTTATAGCAACTTAAGTTCTCCGTCGTCAGGGATTGTCAAGGTTAATTAAGCAATAATCCCATCAATTAAAGGAAGACTTGTGCTCTGTCTAATCTCAACCTACATCAAAGCATGAACTTGCCAAAAGATGTGTATGTGTTGATGCATCTGGGCCTCTCGACAGTCTCTCCAACTTGAAACAAAATTATGTCCAAACTATTTATATGCAGAGGTTTCGAACCATTTAAAAACATATCGAAAAAGGAAAGAGAAAAAATCCTTACCGGGAGATTCGTGAATGAGCAATTTTCAGGACCGCGGTGGTGCGCCTGGTGACTGTATGTCGTCTTCTGCGATCTCAAAAGNAAGGGAAAGTGTAGAGCAGCAAAGCATGTTTCACAAATTTCGAGTGATTTTTAGGCGAAGCAAGGACAGTTCGATCGAGATCCCGTACAAGAACCATACCGGACGAAACTGACCACAAATTCCTTGGGTATGTCTTCGAAGAAAGTATGTACTATAGGTAAGGAGAGAAGTCTTCAAATTGTCAGCTGTGAGTCAGATCCAATTTTTTATTTTGATAAAGATGCCAAACGAGTGGTGTTGAGGGAACTGATGAGAATAAATCATCTTATCTACTGATATGTGATAAAAATAAGTGTTACTAAATACCCGCCCCTATTATTACTCACCTCCCCAAAATACATTTATATCCTTTTTATATAATAAAAATCATTTTTTCAATTAAACACACACTCTCTCTCTCTCTCTTGTTTCACTTTACGAAAAATTCTAAAAATAGTTCCGACAAATTCCGGCAAAAAAATATCGTCCACAAAAGTACGTATTTATTTATTTATTTTTTTTGCGGCAGCGGGCCAGAGGATCCGACCACTCTGCGGCTGGCCGGCCGGTGACCGCGGCCGTCGCTGGTCCGACCAGTTTGAATTTTCTGGTCAGGCCTGATTCGGCCGCGAAAGGGAGCCGGCCAGACCCTTTCCGGCTGTAAAATGGATGCGACCGGACCTAGGCCGGCCAGCGGCAGCGCGGCTGGTTACGGCCGGCATTGCGTTTTATTTTTTTATTTTTTGGTTTTTTTATTTAAATTATAAAAAATTATAATAGTATAAAATTTAAATAATTATATAATAGTATAAAATTTAAATAATTATAATAAAAAAATATATTAGAATAAATTATTGTTTTATATAAAATTATAATAAATTATATTACGAAATAGAATTTATTGATATTATGTTAGAAATTAGAAATTATTGTGTTATAGATTGATTAGCTTAAAAAATGTAATTTATTAATATTATGTTAGAAGTTAGAAATTATTGTGTTATAGATTACAATAGATTATTAAGTATAATTTATTGATATTATGTTAGAAGTTGGAAATTATTGTGTTATAGATTGATTAGCTTAAAAAATGTAATTTATTGATATTATGTTAGAAATTATTGTGTTATATATTAAAATAGATTGTGTTATAAATTTGAATTTATTACCAGTATATTATAAGTTAGAATTGACTATATAATAGATTTAATTTACAATTTACTATTATTACGTTAGAAGTCCTCGTAATTTAATCCTACTCAAAAGTCGCTAAAGTCATTTTACTCATAATCTAACCTTTATTTATTTTTATTTTTATTTTCATATTTTAGATTCATTACCTTAATATTTGTACCTAATGGGTAATAATAACAACTCACTGTGTTCTACTGTTCTTACACTAACCATATAAATTTATACAAATTCTTATAGCAAACGTTCTCTAAGTCTCATCTTGGAAGCAAAGATTATTTTTATTCAGTCTCATCTTTGGTAACAAATGTGCTCTAAGATTGTTACCAAAGATGAGACTGAATAAAAAATTTTGCTTCCAAGACAATTTTAGAGCACTGAATAAACATAATCTTTGCTTCCAAGACAATCTTGGAAGCACATATGTTCTACTGTTTTTACACTGAATAAAATCACTATGTTCAGTCTCATCTTTGTTAACAAACATGCTCTAATTCTCATCTTGGAAGTAAAGATTATTTTTATTCAGTCTCATATTTGGTAACAAACGTGCTCTAAGATTGTTACCAAAGATGAGACTGAATAAAAATAATCTTTGCTCCCAAGATTGTCTTGTAGAGAGGGGATGAAGTCATTTGTTTGTTGAACTTGATATACTCAACATAAGATTGTTGCAATTTATTTGTTACCCATTTGTTATCTATGACTAACGGTAAGATAAATGTTACATTTACTAAATTGTCCTTCAAACAAAGTTGTTTATATTTTCTCATTTTCCAAGCAAAGGTTCTCGGTTTGTAATTAGTTTTTTGCATGCGGTGTTTTAAAAAATAAAAATCTCTCATAACTGAAAATTTTATCAATTTTTTATTATCTTATTTTTCCATTTTTGAAGCAATGTTTACGTTAGTCATATTCAGAGAGCAAATAACAAATGTAATTTTTTTACTTTTCACGTTATTTATTTTTTATTCTCTCGCGTTTAATTTTATTTTTGATAAGAAAATAGTGGTTTTGTCATGCATACATAAGGGCCCGTTTTTATTTCAATTATGTTATGATGCATCACCTACAGATGAAACGGCCAAATGCATTCCGATCCACGTGAAGTTGTTGCACACATGTTCTATTATCACTAATGCATATTAGTTCTTTCATATGCTCAATTTGCTTTGGCAATTTATCAGATATAGTAAACGTAGCCAGTGCTTCACTAGACCTACTACTACGTGACCGATTCATTTGGGAAATAAGTTTATAGGAAAAAAAACCAAGCAAGAACATGTGAAAAGTACCTAAAAAGTATACTTAATCAAGAATTTGATCTTTGAGATTCAATTTACTGGAGATATGGACAGAGGCATAGCCAGAAATATTTTCTACCCTGGGCTGCTAGAACCGATTTGTTAAGGAGTACAACTCAGTTCGACTCGTACAAATTCAATCTTGACTCATTCATATAATAAAAAATAAAATAAAAAATTAATTCAAACAAGCGGAACTTAATTGATTTCACTCGATTTATTAAATAATCCGAGCCAAACTTGCTTATTTATTATACGAGCCTAAGTTCGAATACGACGTATTCGACTCAATTTGGCTTCACTAATATCACTACTGTTCTGTGAAAGTTCAACGTATGATAATTTTTTAAGTGTTTAACGTAAATTACAAAATGAATAAAAAACAAATTATTAAAAATATGTAATGTTGTTTTAATAAATAAAAAAAATAGTAATATCGTGTAATTTCTTCTTGTCTACTTAAATTTGACTTATAAAAATAATATAAATTATTTCAAATACCACTATGAGATTAACGTTTTATTATTAGGCAAGTCAATTCAACATACTTGTTATATGATATTTCACTTAAATTGTGGAAGTCTAAATGTTATTTTATTGAATAGACAGGTTAACCTAACATACTTGTTATATGATATTTTACTTAAATTGTGGAATTCCAAATGTTGTTTCATGAAATATGAGACGCAAATTAATGAAATTAAACTATATATTTCACATATTCAAATATCATTTATTTATTGGTATATTTCACATATAAAGTAATATAAAATAATATAAATTAATCATGTTATAACCAAACATTAAAAATGAAAACAGAGAAGAAAAAATGACAAAGTAAGCTATAACCACAAAAGAATACATAAAAAGTTGAGTCATGTGAAAAATTGTTTTGGTTTACTATAAAATAAATTTAAATCAATATGGACTAAATAATTTTAAAATTAATTAAATTAGTAAAATATGGACATATTTTTTTTTTTACTACTACATAATTAAATAAAACAAAAAATTAAGACTGGGCTAGAGCCCGGTTGGACCACCACGTGGTCACGCCACTGGATATGGGTTTGTTAAGGAAAATTGTGGTTTATGAATTAAATTTGTTGAGCACATGGAAACGAACAGGGGAAGGAAAATGCACTTTTCTGTTGACTAAAGTAATGTTGAATAGTAACAATGGTGTAATGGCAACTGGTAATTTCAAAAACAGACAAGGATGTAATGGTTAAATTTTTTATAAAGTTAGGGGTACTAAGGACATTTTGCACTAAGTCAACTGTACAAATTTTTATAATCTTACCCCCTTTCCCAGGATAGAATAGTCGTGGGAAACACTGACTCAATGCTTTTTAGTCGTGGGCCTTTCTTAATCTTGCGGGCCACAATCACTGACAACAAACGCGTTTTCAAGAATAGATAAATGCCATAATCTTGTCTTATCCATTATAACAAACATTTCCTTAGAATTATATTAGGCTCGTGAAATGTGCCTAATATACCAGGGGCATGTTTGTTTGCCAAGATAGGATTAGATTAATTCAATTTGGAGAGGTAAGATTGTACTGTTTAGACTAAAATGGTTTTATGTTTGTTTGCCAAGACGGACAATGCGATAGATATGGGAATAAATTTGATCTTGCATTTGTTGGGTATGACTAGACATGTGATACAATTATAAATGTACATTTTTACCCTTACATTCATTTGGCAAAAACAAAGATTATGTACAATTTGACACAACAATTTAGCAAAAGAATGAAATAAAAAATAATCAGCAAACCGTGAAAGAATGTGTACACCTTCATAAGCCTTAGCCTCAATCTGTAATCAGATTCACCGTTGGTTATAAAAAAATTCCTCAAATAAAAAAACAAAATTTGCCCCTAATTCCAATTCTCAAATCAAGAAACCCCAAATCTTCATAAATTTAAAACCTTCTCGCACTCCTCAAACCCTTCACCAATTTTGCATCATGTCTCCGCCATCGCCTCCAAGAACAACACCGCCCGATACACGGTGATGGCGCTCACGACGTCGGCCAAGACGCTCCTCCTCAACCTATTTGCGTCCACCACCACGCCCACCAACTCATCCATCTCCTCTCGCCGTCGACGGGATACGAGTTTGCGCGGGTGAACCACTTGCTAGATTTGGAGACCTCAACGAGATACCCATAACTTGGAATAATTTTTAATCAACAATTTGATGTTTGAGATTCAATTTACATGGGCACAGTGATTTACAATGTAGAAAGAGAAGTCTGGAAAACTTTGTGCGATTTAATGCCTTTTTTGAAGGTAAATTTGAAGAGTTGTAAGGGTAATTGAGGAAAATTATTTACTTTATGGGGGTAATTTGGTAGTTTGGTCATATAAATACTGTACAGATGAAAAGCAATCTCACCCTCGAGCCGAGATCAAATAATCGGCAATACTCAAGATAATTCCATTTGGGTCGCGGGTCTCATCTAGTCGGGCGGGCCGCAGTCATGGAAAACAAATGTAAGACTAAGCCCAGATTAAGCCCATAATCTTGTCTAATCTTCCCAATCAAACATAGCCCAGGAGATTTAGAAAAACTGCCCCTGGTTGGAGAATTTATAGAATTCAATCGACCAGAAAGTTTTGAGGTCACAACATTAGTCTTTACAATACCATTCCCAAAGTACCTACGGCTGCGAAATCCAAAAATGACCTAATATTGAGCTAATCATGATTTGTCCAGAAGCCAAATACAAAGAAACCATATGACGAGCTTGGTATCTTCATTTCCATTTAATCTTCATCGGCTCAAAAATACATCGTGGACCAAAAACTAAGTGTCTCACAGCCATTACAGGCACGTAAACCAGACGTGTTGGTCATCTCATTCTTTAGCCAAAAATATCTTTGGGGTCCCGCACAATCTAACAGCATTAGCAGACCAAGAGTTTGTGCAATTCTAGTTAGCTGCCATTATGAATTTATAGAACACCATGTCAGAAAAAGGAAAATAAGTTCACCAACTTTTTTGCCCTTCACTACTTAGGAATCCAAGCCAACTATTAGGAAATCCTAGGGTACATATTTTGAGGTACATTAGAATTACAGTAAAAGTGTATTATCATCGTGCAAAATTCACGAGATTTATATCCTTACTTTCAAGTTGGAAGTGCTGACATCTGGATTTGGTCGTCATAAGCTCCTTCTGGTTCTGAACTTTGCAAGGAGTCTTTTCTGTTACGGTCCAATGAAGTGGCTTCATGAATTCCTGCAAACAAAAAATGCGCGATATTTTTGTCACTCAGACGGCCCCATATACAGGGCCCTGTATTGTAAGAGGATTTGTGGGGGAAAAAAATTATAATTAAAGGGATAATAAGTGAGATGCTGAAATCTAAGAGTAGATGAGAAATACACACAAAAGGAAGTAACTATATATTTCTTTTGAAAAAAAATTGAAACAGTAGGTAACATCCAAAAACAATAATCCGGCAGAAATTCCTTCTATAAGAACTGACCATATGAGAAATACATAAGGTAGCAACTTCTATGCGCTATATGCGTATATATGCATCAGAAGAATTGAGTGAAACTCATTTCAGAAAGCCAATTAACTAAATGACCACTAATGAACATTATCAGAATCGGGAATGAGGGTATGGGGACGTATTTCCAACCAACCGAATTTGAATAGAAAGAGTTAGGCTTCGTTATATCAATCTGTCATATCTTAATTAATTTTTAAAAAAATCAATAAAAGATCTAATTCGCACCAAAGCTCAAAATGGCAGCGCAGAGTAGAAAGCCAGGTAGGGAGAAATCCATCTTGTAGACAATCTCCATGACAATGATGCATCCTCCAGCGACACTTAAATGTCTAGGAGATGAGAAGACCATATGCAGTCTGAAAATCGAATTACCAAGTTGTCTTGTGTCAATGCAAGTTAGCAAATTACAGTATCTCGTGAAGACAAAGTATCACAACGAATTAGCACATAATTAATCGTAAGCCACCTGTTATGTTCATTCATAGACAGGATAAAAGGTATTGGAGGTTCTGTTAGAAAATTAAATGTTTCAACAGAGGGTTTTTATTTCAAGAGGGAGATTAATCATGATCGGACTTCGATAGCATGGTCTTTCAAACCATTGCTTAGCCCCTGACCCAACGAACGAAGCGAAGTGAATAAAAGAACAGATGCCTTCAATTTATTAACTTCCAGTGATGTATCTGCTTGTTAAGTTTTGTCCATTCTCAGTGCCATACGGTCAGTATGGTACCATCAGAATGGATGGACTTGACCAGATTTTAAATACGACACCATTTAACTACATGCACAAGCCAAGTACAATGAAAGCAGAAGTCAAGATATGAAATGGACCTATGACTATGCTATATGTATATTGGTTATAATCTGCACAATGTGTAAATGTAAATATGCATGAAAGAGAAAATAACAAAACCCGCAGACCTTAGAAAACCATTGATAAGCAATAATAAAACTATGAATAGAAATGTATATCATAAGTCTATCAGCATGTACTCCAAGTGTCAATTGCTAGCCATGAAGATGTATTAGGTAATGCAGGTAATGTTTCTTTTTTTATTCACTTTATGTTAAGTACCTAAAGTCAGTTAGTCCACACCTATAATAACTAATTAGCCATACCCGAGAATAAATTGCCAAAATGTGATTCATAATGAAACTTCCGGTAGCCTAATACCCAATAAATGGTAAGAACTTGAACATATAAATTGCAATGGATGAAAGTAATAAGAAGAACTACACATAGAAGAGGCTACGAAAGAGTGTACCTTTCCTCTGCTATACTGTCCACATAAAATATCAAAATAATACCGAAAAGAATAAAGCTCGAAAAGGCCCATACAGAAAATGGCAATTCTACATCAGCTGATCCCTGAAAATTTTGAAGACATAAGGAAAAGTCGAATATTAGCATAGACAGCAGCACCATGCAAGTGCCAATATCAAAAGGAGTAGTTAACAGATAAAAAGAAATGATAAATAAGATATGGAAGAGAACAATGAGATCTGTTATACACATTCTGTACGGAAGAACTCTGGAAAGTCAGACTCACAATGATCATATCCCACATGGCAACAGGGAACAGAAAACAGGTAGCAGAAGAAATAGTTATGGCATTAAGCCTCCTTTTGAGTTGATTCTGGAATAGAAAATAAAGAGTCCCGGTGTCAACTCTGGTTCTTTCATTCTTTGTTCAGAGTGTATGCAAGTTTAAATGGGATACTAGATACCATATTATATGGACTATGAAGCAACAGAACATCAGTACCTTAAGTGAGACACGTCTTGCAATCACTCTTCTTAATGCTGATAAAATTCCAGCAAAGATGGGAATTAGCATCTCTTTGATTCCTAAAACATCAGCTGACTGGACCTCTGCCTCTTGATTATCACTAAATGGTACTTTTATGTTAAGTTCAAACTGAAATGACTTTAAATATGTGGATGAAAACTAGAGCAAAACCAATAGCACACTCATTTGGCAATTAATACTTGCTCAATTTAGAAAGGATATCAAATGGAGACTGTGTGGACATGGCCCATCCTTGAGATAAGAAGTAGAAAGATGCCAACATTGCCAAGAGGCCACCCACCTGAAAAGAGAAGGGAATTTTATAAATAGTTAAATAGAGGCCAAGGAAACAGACAGTGACCAATATCCTCTCAAAAAGAAAAGCCAGTCCACCTTATTATTTTGATCAATATATAGGGTTTTCTAACGACATTAATTTGACAATTTACATTTTATGACAATACTGAAGTAAATCTCGCACGCAAATCTAATAACACGTCCATATGCATCTGAAAGCACATCCCAGTCCTCAAAAATTAATTAGGATCAGACTGGGAATTAAAAACCAAGCATATAAAACCATAGATAGAAAAGTTAAAGCAAAAAATATATGTCAAAGCAATACCTTTTTCCACACATTGCCTCTCCTCCCATATAAGACTCCAGATAATACTCCAAGAACAGCACCAGAATACTCAGCCAATATGGCCCTGTCATAATAAGCATTGGTGTTGTTGATAGGTTTAACAGTATTAGATAGAATGATAAAGAAAATGGAAAAGGAAAACGAAGAGACCAACTTAAGCTTCAGTCATAATCATATACGGGAAAATACACACTAAATCATCAGCAAGCAACACATATTTTGAAGTACGAACAAAATCAGGGAAAAAAAGTCCAAAACCATGTCCAATAGCCTAGTTTTCAACCCCCATAAAAGCGGTAACTGGTCAACAGATAATCATGTACGCTATGCCGAGGTACACAAGTCAAGTTGGGACATTGATAGGTAGGACTAACTTAACTGAGCTTTCTTCGGCAACATAACTGAGCAGATAGCAAGCCAGTTATGCTTCGGGGTCTAGAGAAAAGAAGCAAACTGCATTACCTAAAAATATATGCCCCAGCACATATATAATTTGGCATACAGACAAACACTAATGCGAATTCACTAAGCTACAGCATTGCAAGTTGACAAGACAATTCTTTTTTAAGCAGTTTAAGTAACAAATTATCTTTTTAAATAGCCAAGCTAGAAGAAAGCATTCAAGCAGCTCTTATAAATCTAAATTTCAAATTTTCACCTGAGAGGACCACAAGATTTAAGCCCCTTTCCCCACAAGATGAAGTATAGGGCTGTTATACCACCATTTATCACAGAAGGCACTACCTATAAAACAAATGCTAAATATAAGCATCAAGCGAAGACAGACATGTCAAATTATCTTGCGCGTCATCAAACAGAATTAACAACAGAGAAGCAGAATATTTGGTAACAACCTGAGTATTTGAAAGAGGTCTTCCCTTCCAAGGTTTTTGCAGAAGTAAAAACAAAATGGATGCTGGAACAAGACAGCTGAAGATGAACAAAACCACCGATGCCCCTGATTGAGATAAGTAACGGTACATAGAGTAAACTGACCAAATCCGCAGGAGGTTACCAATAATGTGGATGATTTGCAGGGGAGTTTGCCTACATTCAAAACGGATGTATCATATCAACCAAATGAGAAACAGGAAAGAGGGAGCAAATTACCATTTATGATATATTCTCCACAAACTAAAAGGCTACTTACTTAAACTGTAACAGTGCTCCATTACTGGAGATGACTCCAGGCATGGATCTCTTCGACTTACACTAACTACGGGTGGATTTCTGGACAACGCACTTCAAAATAACTTACTTTGACCATGCTAAAAGATAAAGCAACATTGCCTCTACCTTTTTCTACGCCATACTAAGCCAAACTATGTATAGCCCAAAACACACTAATCCTTCCAAGAGTCCTTTGCATACCACATAGAATTAACAGAATATTTTATTATGTGGTTCCTTTTTGCCTTTTGATAGTCGTTTTTTGTCTTTTCCAGTGCCCTAACTAGGTGGCTAATACACAAGCTGTGCATTTCATACACCAGGAAACTCCATCAGATGGAAAAACTACTGACTAATGCGAAACATGAAATGAGAAATTTAAACTGCTCGTTTAATCACTCAACCAAAACACAACTATTTTCAGTGGAGAAAACGATGGTCGACTGACCTGAAAGTAGCAGAACGAGAAGTGCCTCGATTATCAGGGATTTGATTTGGGGACATCATTATTCTGTTTCTATTTTCAACCTGTTTTTCTTGAAATTATGAACAATTCAACTGCATAACTGTGTCACTCATGGGAAAATGCAGAGTAGAGAAAAAATGCCATAAACAGTAACGGAAATTCTTGGATTGCTATGGCCATTGGCAAAATTTAGTTGCTTGTTAAGCTGGAGTTCGATTTCAATCGGAACATGAAAATGCTCTTTGTTGGGTTTTCTAAATGGGTTATGGGATTTTTGGGTCGGCCCATCTTAAAGGCAATTGAAAACATTGGGAAAATTTTCACATATCCTACGTGATTTTAATTTATTTATAATTCTACCATATTTATATTAATAATTATGTCTTTACCTAAATCACTTTATTTATCTATATTAATGCCTAAATTATTTATTATATCCTTTCAACCTCCATCCCCTTTTTATGAGATTGATTAGGAGAGAGAAATGAAAATATACTTATAATAACCCATTTAATTCTTTAATTCGCGCACTGTACGTTTTTAATAGAAACAGAAATAAAAACATGTATTGTAATGCACACACCTGTCTAGTGAGTATATGTTGCGTTTATGTGAATATATATTCAGTATATGTTGCAATGAAAAACATGTCTTCCATCAATTTTTTTTTTTTTTTTTTTTTTTTTTTACTTTTATACATAAAAGTATATATATAGTTTATAAACATATTATAACAAGTTACTTATATTCTCTATACCAAAAAATCTTCTAATACACTAAACATATATTCCCTATACTCACAACATATACCGAACAATTTACAAAAAAATCTTCTAATATACTGAACATATACTCCCTATACACACCACATATATTGCATGTCTATACACGCAACATCCAACATATATTGCCGTAAACATATACTGTAGATATATTGCGCATATACTCCCAAAATAAACCCAAAAAAGAAGGCTACCAAAAAAATTCTTCATGAATAATAAATCCAACCAAATCAAAATTACAATAACTTCATCTGCACCACCTCCTAGAAATTAACAAACTAATAATCAATCAACGGCAAGCTCCACGAACATGTCCCCAGTGAGCTTCCAATCCGGCTAGGAAGGCCTCAACCTCCGGCGACTTGAGGTAGTCATTTTTCGGCGGGTCCCTCTTCTCCGCCCGCACCTTCTTCTTCCTCGGCGTCGCCGGAGGTAGCAGCGGCGCCGGAATTCGGTACTCCGGGTGCTCCGAGGTCGTGCTCCGGGGTCAAATCACCAATTTTCCTTCCAATTGAAGCTTTAGTTCGTGAAAGTTAGAAAACTTGAAAATCCGAAGATATATGAAGTTGAGCCCATTTAACTTTTCTAAGTTCTGAAGATTACTTTAGAAGAAAAAATTGAGTCTTGTGAGTTCGGAGAGAGAATTCAGATCACAGATGAATTTCAACTTTCAAGCATTCAACAGAGAAAGAGAACAAAAAAGAACTTTGAGAACAAAAAGAACAAAAAATTATGGCAGATGGGAAGACGCCATGGTTCTTTTTTAATCAAGGGACTCCTTGATATTAGAGATTGGTTATTTAAATTAGATAGTAACTTTCCATATTTAAATCATAATTAATAAACCTATAAAATCTTGTATATGAGTAAATATGTTGGGGTGATTAAGTATATTTGCAAATAAATATTAATTAGATAAAAATATGTAATATAAAACATATTTGATGGTATGGGGTGTGAATTATTCAAAAACATATTAGTTGAATTTTACCAATTGAAAAAAATTGCACTATTACCATAAGACATAACTTGCTTGAATTTTACAAATTCCATCTCAATTAATTGTAAATATTCACTATATCAGTTACCAACTATAATGCAACTCCTGTCCTAAATTGCGCATGTCATGCGTTTTTTTTTTAATAAAAATAAACCTATTATATATGACAAATTTATATATCCTACAAAATAAGGTGTTATTTCACTACAAAATAGAAAAATAAGGAATTTGAATTTCAAACTCCATCATTCTTCCATGTTCATTAACAAATTCTGAAAAATATAGGAATGTTAAGTTTAGTAATCATATACTGGATATGCACATGCAATCTACAAAGGCATAAAACCAGTCAGTCTGTTGTGTAACATATTTTTGTTTAGTGAATATATACTTAGCATACACTGCACATAAAACATGCGGATGAAAGGACAAAACAACATGTTGTGATTTATACAAAACATATAATAAACATACACACATACAACTGAAATGACAAAAACAACATGTTGTGAATTTATACATAACATATATTGAGTTTATATACATATACATATTATATACTGACATGATTATACATTTTACAAAAGCATAAAAATCAGTCAGTATGTTGTGTTAATGAGATAATAGTACGGTACTCGTGCGATACACAGTCTAGTAATATTAACGGAAGTTTAAATTGGTTGATGGTATCATTGTTCCAAACATAAAACACATTTATTGGAATAAAACAAAATGTTATTTATGTATTAATAAATACCTCCATGTACACAACAGTCTTGTTTTGAGTTTTTGGTACATCGTTATGGTCACAAATTAAAATCTTCAAACCCCGATTCGTAACGAACTACATATATCTGACCGTGACTAAACACCAATTTCTCCAAGAACCGACCAACATGCGATATCCTCCCCCCACCCCCCCCTACATTTGACATTTTATATCCCGTCCCTTTTTCGCCTTTGATATGGTATATTTCAATAAAATATAGCAAATTTTTTTAATTTAAATAGGCAGCTTATATTACAATTAGTATGTTGAAATGCTTTGTATCTATCGGGTTAGTGTTTGAAGCACGTGCTATATTTATGTTTAACAATTATTAGTATATATTTATGTGCAAATAAATATAACAACTCTAACTATTTTGCTAATAACTATATGAGGGGTATAATTATGTAATGAAAAGGATTAGTCTAGTGTGCAGGGTAATTTTCTCAAATTATTGTATCTATTTTGATCCACTTCCACATTTAATCCAGATAGGTGATTAATATATCATCTTCATCAATTTGTCAAATTATTGTATCTCATTATCTTACTCAAATAAATGTCATTTTTTGAACAACATCCAACTTGTTATATTTTTTAAATTTTGCCTTAAAAAACATCACACAACAAGTGTTGTGTCTTAAATTTGTTTCTGTTCCAAAATCCAAATATTAGGCCTCACAATTATAAAACTTGTGAGGATTAAACTTGGAGAAATTTACACCCCATCCCTTTATATTTCATTTATATTACATTTATACACCCCTTTAATTTTTATTTATGAAATAGCTAAACAAACACAATAATATTACAAATATACCTAATATGATGTGTTAGCAAATCACCGTTCATCATTTTCATTAATTGATATTAAATATACACTTACCTAAAAAATCTGAACAAAATACTGAACAATCCCACCCCACCGCCGACGTTCACATCTCGAAGCAAAGAAACCTCCATCCTTTCCCCCAAATTCACAAACACTCCTCAATGGCGAAGACAAAACTTCATCGTCATTATCGACAAAAACCGACAAATGGTGCCGACGAAACACCACATATTAGGTCGAGTTCCAGCCCCAAGCCAGCCCCATCCCTCGCGCTGTCCTCACCGTCCGCGCCACCACCACCTCCTCAGATCCTCCTTCCGCCTCCGCCTCTCTCAAGCACCATCGTCCCGCGGACGAGAACATCCGTGACGAGGCCCGCCGCCACGCCTCGTCCCACGGCTTCTCCGCCAAGCACGTAGATGGTGGAGATAAGGATTCAGTTCCTTATGATTGAATCATTATGGATTGTGACGTAAATGAGGCTGGAAAATTATTTAGTGGCTTATGGTTTTTTGTTGATGAATTGGGTTGAGAAAACTAGAGTAATTAGAGAAGTAGAAGAAGTGTACGGTGCTCGTGTGCCAATTATAGCGTTGACGGCTAGTGAAGAAGAGGAGACTGGTTTGGAGAAGATGGTTCAGTTCTTTGCAGTTACTTTTTTGTTGGAACTTAGATATCAGATAAAGCCCTAACAAATTTTCGTTATATGTTTTGGAATATGTAGCGTGTATAGGCTGTATATGTCCAGTATATGTACATCTTAGTAGTATACACAATTATTTTTCTTGTTTTTATTGTTGAATGAAAACTGAATGGTTTATTTTCAGTATATTATTAGTCATGTTCTACTGTTTCCATGTTTTTTTTTTCTCATGACATTAATGGGAAGAAGTTCGACAGTATATAATAGTTAAAAATTTATATTCAGGGTTTATAATAAGTATTTTTTCGGTATATTCTGCAGTTAAAAATTTATAGTCAGGTTTATAGTCAGTATATTTTCAGTATATTTTCGGTATATACTCAAAGGAGCAATATTTAAAAAAAAAAAGATATATATACCATTAAAAACGATATATATATATATATATATACCATTAAAATATGATTAAAATAAACGATATATATCGTTAAAAAGTGATATATATACCATTAAAAACTGAAAAATTCATTTAATGAATAATCAAAGGTAAAACAAGAAAATATAAAATAAAAGAACGAACCCGAATTTTTTTTTTCCATACATGAACCAAACTTTTTTTTTTTGAGATAAAATCATTCTATACATGAACCAAATTTTTTTTATTTTATTTTTTTGTATTTGTAACGGAATGTATGCGGCAATTAAGGGTGGAGGATTCTATTTGTATGGTTATTTACTTGAGGTATATCTCTAATAAAATACTAGATTTTAGGTATAGATATAATTAAAATGGTTCCACTTGTAAACATGTAATATTTTGTATTTTTTATAGGAAGCGTGAAAATTTTCCGAAAGGTTGAGAGGCAACATTCTAGCCCATCTGCAAAATCTGTGAATGATTTTATTAGGTTGTTAGTCTAACCATAGTTTTTGAACCTTGACCCGGTGATTGACCTGGGCTAAACTTTGACTAGCCGGGTCACCGGTCCGATTCTCTCCCATTGTCTATCATTGAATCGATTAATTAGTCTCATATTATTTTAAATAATACTTATATTATTTTATGTTATAATTATATCATAAATTAATAAATAAATTATTTATATCTAAATTTTATATCTCAGAGTCTTAATATATATATATATATGTATATATATATATATAAACACCCATAATTTTATTTAAAAAAATATGTAAAAAAAAGAAATAAAAAATTAATGGTTGGATCAAATTGAGTTGTACTTATCAGGTCAATGCTCGGGCCGACCTGGTCAATGTCGGGTTGATCGGGTCACTTACTAACCGGTGTGAACAACCCACCCAGATCGGTTGTAAACCCAGGTCGATTTTCAAAAT